ACTAAAACCAACATCAAACCCCCTCTCAAAACACTTTCAGGCTCGCTCTCAGTTAAGTGCACTTCAACGGGATATAAATAATCACAACTGATAGGTGAAATTGACAACAATAACATTCCATTTATTTTCGGCAATTCGGGGAGTCAAGAGCTGCTTTGCCTGTCAGGTTTAGTCTGTTTCTTTAACTCTTCAAATGCTAAGTACTAACATGCTCTTTACAAAAGCAGCCTCTCCCATACTCTCGTCGTGCCGTAAACAAGTCGGGTGTAGACCCCACCTGGAAAATGTTATTATCAAAGAGCATAATAAACATATGAATTTAATAATACAAATTTTGTAACGTTTGTGCCAGGTACATCTGGTTACACACTGGTTGTGTATAATAGTAAATCAGTATAAGAAAAGACATCAATATGAGTCAAATATATGCACTACTATATCCAAATGCGTTCTCCATATTGCATATTGAATTTCTGGCTTTCCAATTCAACTTCGTTACCATATGTTACAATGAAAAAAAAAAAAGAAGGTTTCCCACAAAACTGCGACTAGCATAGTGCTTCTCACATGAAAAACATGGCTTTTCTATCGTTTTTATGCCCACCATAATGGATTAAGTGCAAACAAAATGTAGGCTGTTTTATTGAATTAAAGGGAACATATTTTCACATGTTAAAACAATATTTTAAAATGTGGAATTTGCTATTTGAAGTTGCAGAAAACATTAGAGAATATTCACCCGGGTGAACAGTTATATTTACTTTTAAGTAAACACAACAAAACACTTATATTAAAATCATTTAGTGAAGTAAATTACTGCTACATATTGGACATACAGCCTGACGTTTTTGGTGTTAATATTTTTACATTACGGTGGGGGCGGGGTATTCGTTGTAGTTGAAGAATATATCGTGGAGAGTCGGTTTTGGGGGACTTCTCCTCAAATATACAACACACAAACATCAGCTGAAAACACATACGAATACAGTGGAACACTAGCGTGTTGGCACGGACATGCACACACACGCTTATTTTTTACACATCGGCTTAAGTGTACCCACTCCCCTCGTTCCCGTCTTCTTTAAAGTTTTATCTTGGCTCCGTTATACACAGCGCATGTGTTAACTGGAGCTTGATTACCAATTTGAGATCTGGCACATGTCAGTTATTGGAACTGGGACTATATTTACATATGTCTGTCACGATGAGTAATTTGCATATGCACCGAGTGACCCCGTCGCCAATTTCAGTGTGTAATGATCAGGTCATGTGAGGTTTAAAATCCGTTCTGTTTGTGTGTTTTGAAACTGTAATACAAATACTGTAATAACAAATGAAAGATTGCGCACACGTGGGCGCGTGTGCTCGTGCGTATTTTGCGAAGCTGCATTTGCATTTTCTATGACTTAATTTTATATATAGACAAGGCACTGTCTTTTCTGTTAAAAATTGGAGCTTGGCCAAGTGCACCGATGCTAAATATGAAAAAAAGGTCTTTATGATTTAAAGGTTTGATAAGGTGTGTCTGACGTGATGTGTCTTTAAAAATATGATTATTAAGATAAATTAAGTCGAGAAAGTCTTTTTTTAGTTTAACAGAGTATTAAATATTAATCAGGTGAGAGGGCGGTCCTTATTACACCAAATAAGTGCACATTTATAATTATACAGGAGCGTCTCCAAATCCTAATTAGAAAGTTGACCGAGTGCATGTTTATATTAAGAATGAAATAATTTTTATTTCTGTAAAGGGGTGTGTATGTGGGCATTATCTAGGGGAAATGACGAGTGCACTTTGCAAAAGTTAGGTCGTTATAATAAAGACATGGGCGTGGTCTAACCCAGGGTTGTCAAGTGCGTGTGTGTGTATGTGTGAGAATTATAACGGTAAAGGCGGAGAATTCTTATATTTGGTATAGTAACCATGAAAAGAAGGGGGCGTTTTTTCATCCCTTAATTCAAAACTTCTGTGAGGATATTATGGAATTATATATTGATGGATGGCGGTTGTCGCAGAAAGAGGTTGCTACATGTATCCTATATTTAGAGCACCTTGAGTGCATTTTTGAATTAAGAAAAAGTTTTATTGTAAACAAACCCATCACTATTAGCGGTTATCAGGTGCATTCATGATCAGCCACAGACGACTATCTACCTGTACTATCTATAGTCGTGTCCTCCAATGCAGTCTAATATTCACTTCTGATTTTACAATATCTTTTATTTACTGTATTTGTTCGTGTTTAGGATAACTGATCTCTCTTAAAATCCTGATATTTTGCAGTTTTCCAACGAGTTTCTCTCTTGTGAATCTGGGGCATATCCTGCAACGTTTCATGAAATTAAGCTTTTCCTATTTGGTCTTACGATACCGGCTCCAAAATTGTGTGCCTGGAATTCCTTAATACACTACATGCCGTGTGGGTGACGCTGAAGCTTGTTTTGCTTCAGTAAACCAAGTGAACCCGAGTACTTGAGAGGGCCAAGAAATGCGTCACAGTGTTGAAAAAAGTACACTTAGGTTATTTAAACTGCTTCAAGTAAAAGGCTTTTTTTTCATGATATTTTTTGAATGAACCAATAGCTCCTTGTATGTTATTATAATGCAGCTTAATTTGGAATATTTGAAATGAAATTTCAAAAAGAATGCTCCAATTTATTTTTTTCATCTTTTTGGTCTCTCTTTCATTCATTTTTTTTTTCTTTTTTTCAGTCCATTTTTTTCTCTGTCATGGTACTTGTCTATATAAGGGATTTGTATACAAAAAAAATAAGCTAGGCAGAGTTTAGTGAAAACTACAATATTTTCAGTAGCCCCAGTACTCTCCGCAAGCTTTCTTCACTATTTACAGTGGCATGCACTTTTTTGCATGCAGTTACTTGGCATCAAACACACAAAACACGCTGTAACCTAATCAGCAGGTACATGAAACCACCACTGTTCTGGTCGGTGGTTAAAACGATGCAGATGGCTGTATTTCACCCAGCGAACTCTTCCAGAGTCCTGCCATCCAGATGCCTGGCAGCTTTTGCTGTTACGTTTCTGTTTTTGGGGCCATGAGTTTGTGAGAAGCCATTGGGTGCAAATCGTTAACCCCCCCACACACACACACACACTCAGGCCCCTATGGTCACACGCGCGCAAGCACGCAAGCACTCACGCGCACGCACACAACTTTAACTAATCCTCTTAACGCACATTCACAATGCAGATATACAGAACATTATTCATGAGAAGTTGTTGTGAAAGTTTTTATACGTCTGAACCTAGGTTGACACTTCATCACAGAGTATATAAAATGCCGGAGAAAAATGTCCCTTTGTAGATATCTGTGTAACGTCTCTTCTCCATTGTAAGTTACTGGAATTGAACTCTAGTTCACCGTTTCTTCAAGAGGTTTGTACACATCTTCTGAATTATGCGACCCGGTCATAATTCTATTGTAATTTTGACGCGATTTCCACAAACTATTGTCTGATTCAATGTGCAAATTGAAACTAGTTGACAAGTTTGCAATATCATTAAAACCCTTTTTTTTTATTTGTTTCAAATAACCCCGCGATGCCTTACCCGGATCGGCTAGTCAGTTGCTACTCTGGGTTCAGGATTCTTGGTCTTAATTATTACATTATAAGAGGGTCTGGAAGGTCCATGCCCACACTTAGTACGCGTCACCTTTCTACACTCGTTGTAATTAGAATGACCATTACGTTAGAATGCTAATTAACAAGCAATCCGCTACGCTGGTAGTCCGTGCCCCTCGCGAGCGGACTTTCCTTGCGTATAGATGGTATAGAAGGAGTACAAGAAAACCTTTCCCGAGGTGCCTCAGACGTGGCCGGTAGTGTTGACATATCATTTTGAATAAAAAAAATCAGTCAAACATTTTTAGATTGGGAAAAATCGGAGGGAACATGTGAAAGCGTCCCAAAACTACGTCTCGCTTCAAGGTGGCAACGATCTTGTACCATGCGTACTTTATTGTTACAGGGTTTTTACAGTGTCTCCGCCCATCGTCTCCCGAGGACCTCTTTATTGCAGTCATTGCGTACACTTGCCTCTCAGTCACGTATAAAATACCCCTTGTCAGTTGTACTTCAAATGCGATTAGCCCTTAAACGGGGCAAATATTTAAATAATGAAACCAAACCCGCTTGATATTAATGTTGGGTAAAACGAAGGTGCCCCCGGACAAAAGGAGAGTGTGGAACGCAAACTTCATCTTTTAATGTTGTGTTTGGCCTTGACGTTGACGTTTACCTGACCAGCAAATTGGACTTGTCCGTCATGTAGTTGTTCGGTTGACAAAGTGACCGGACAATCGGTGACTGATGACGACGAGAAACTTTGTGAGTAAAGAGGAAATATGTGATATAAAGTACATTCTGAATTTTTTTTAAGAAGTCGTCGGCACGGAGGTAGGTTAACGAAGTTGGTTGCAGAACAGATAACATCATTTGGTATGATATATATTGAGCATGATCAAAGCATTAGGAAAAGAATTATTTCATATAATATCGTAGATGACGTTGAGAAATGGCGGTTGGTTCCATTTTTACCGGTGCTCTACCCGGATTGAACTGTGTCGGTTCTATCAATATACAATCACCAGTGTTTATTTGTTGGCAGTTGCTTGTTCTCAGTAAGGGTACTTTTAGCTATGCCATAGGTCAACAACTGATTGCTGTCTGCGTCCAAACATGAGGAAAGATTTACGCAGCCAAGATATTTTTAGATCTTATTGTATTTCTGTTCCAAGATTCTATGTATTTTAAAAGCTCCTTGTTTGTTCCTACTGACAGAAGCAGCTGCATATTTAACACTTTGCATGTGTTAAAAGGAGAAAAATTTGATTTTCTTTACAGATGCCGTTTACTAAAGCAACAACAAGGCACAGCTTGGCGATTTCGAGTTGCTTGGTTGTTTTGATTAAGATGTGTGAAGCTTATTGCCAATTATAGACGCTGTTAAATCTAATTCCTTTCCAATTTCCTTTCAGAAGCACCCAAGCTGACGTCACAGCAGCAAACGCACGATGTCTGACGTCATCACAGCCCAGCCATTTGCCAGGCGGCCGCTGGGAGCGTTCGAACAGATCTTCGACGCGCACCACTCTTTTGGTAATTACATCTTCCTATGTGCAATGTTTCTTCGCTCGAAGAGCAAACTCACGGAGGCGGTGCTCCATCAGGTTTTAAGAAAACTGCAGAATCGGCACCCATTTTTGAGATCACGGATTGTCGTTGGAGACAACGGAAATAGGTACTTTGAAGAAATGGACAAGTTGGTTGTCGATTTCCAAATGGTTGAAAGTGACGACTGGGAAGGAATGTATGAGAAAATGTTAACGACGCAATTTGACTCTGAGAACGGGCCGCTTTGGAGAGTAAAACTCCTAACAATGCCACACACAAATGAAGAAGCAAAATGCAATCTCTCCAACGGCGCTCTAAAGAGCGACATGCCATTTAAGCAGACGATTCTCTTCGCCTTTCACCATGCCATATCCGACGGCATCTCGGCCGCGTCCCTGTTTGAAGAATTCGCCGAAATTCTCGATTCCCATCAAGGTTCCATGGCCACGGAACACCCCGTGAAATCTCTACCTCTCCTCCCGCCGATGGAGGATCTCCTACCCAGGCCGGACATCACCTTCCGGTGTCTAGATTTCTTCAATATCTTCAGGATAGCCTACGAGAGCTTCTTCCCCGGCAAAAACCAGTACCTCAACAAATACCCGCCGCCCATCACGAAAGACCCAAATGTTGCAATCATGACCAAAGTTATACCTTTTGAACTTTCAAAACTGGAAACTGAGAAACTGATAGCTAGATGCAAGAAGGAAAAGACATCAGTCCACGGTGCCCTGACCACCGCGGCTAATCTTGCGTTGTCAAAAATTATCCAACCGGGCGGTGGAGCACCCCTTGTTATACCCTCATTGCATCCAGTGAACATTCGCTACTTCTGTAAACCCCCTGTGGAGCCCCATCACCTTGGCAACTTAGTGTTAGCGGTTGATACCAAACTGAGGATCCCAAAGGGGACCTCCATACAGAAATTCTGGGAACTTTCAAAGAAATACACGCAAGCAATCCGTGGCGGGTTGGCATCGAAGGAGTACACGAAATTCCTGCGTGTTTTCGGGAAAATCTGGAACCGAGACATGTACATATCGAGGGTGGAAGACAGCCAGAAAGTGGGTGGGCGCAACGGGGCGTATTTCACCCTCTCAAATCTTGGCAACTTGGACAGGGTCCTCAAGGGGACGTCGTATTCTGAGATCGAGCTCGAGGACGTCCTCACGGCCACTGGGATGCACCGTGAGGGGCCCGTGTTCCTCCATAATGTTATCACGTTCAGGGGACAGCTACGGTGGCATTTAAACTATTGTACAAACGTGGCCACCACGCAGCACGCGGTGGAGTACTCCTACCTCATCCATAAGACGTTATTGGAAGCTTTAAAGGAATAATAAGAACACGTAGGAGGACTCAGTACAATTGCCACTGTGTGAACAAATTGTGAGGTGTCATCTATCACATTGGAATATTGCTTCAAAAATTTGAAGCTTTGTCGAATTTAGAGAACCCTTTCAGGGTTATTGATAACGTAATTTACCACTTTGAGTCTTCGTATATTGTGACAGAGGATGTTGTTCTGACTTATGTTACCTTAAGAGAATTTTAGAGAATTTTTATGTCTTAATCACAGTCGAAAAGACAAAGCTGGCACTTTAAGTATATCACAAATGTACATTTTTTTATTTAATGCTGTTGTTATAAACGTTATAACAAAAATACGAAGAAGCCTTCATCGGACTGCATATAAAGTTATTCATTAATGGCATCTTGTTGCAATGGATATCATTTAGCGATATAATGAATGTCTGTGATCAACCTGATTCATAAATAATTTGATATCAGTATATGGATGAATATAATAAAAATGTTAACTATTTGAAACAATTGGTTTTTACAATAATGATACACTTCTATATGCAGTTACATGATTTTTTTCAGTTTCGTTCATAGCACAGTGTATTTCGTACTTAAGAGAGAGAGAGAGAGAGAGAGAGAGAGAGAGAGAGAGAGCATGTGCTCTTAGAGACCTGGTCCATCAAGCTAAATATGAATGCAGCATTATTTTGGTGTTATTTTGAAATTATCAACACAGTGGACTGTGACACAGTGTGGAAATGCGACAGAGAAGATTTATAAGGTAGACGACCTCACAATGCGGTAGAGATGCCCCGCCCCCTTGGAGGTGCTTACCGCAATTCTTTGATTTTAATCTTTACCTGAATCATTATGCGGCCTCTCTCTCTCTCTCTCTCTCTCTCTCTCTCTCTCTCTCTCTGTGTGTGTGTGTGTGTGTGTGTGTGTGTGTGTGTGTGTGTGTATGTGTGTGTGTGTGTGTGTGTGTCTGATTCTGTGCTTGCGTGCGTGAACGTGTGTACACGTGACATGCTTCACCTTGGGAGGTGTAAATGCGCAATATTACTCGTATCTTTGTGCTTTTTTTATATAGATCATTAGACTATTCATATATATATATATATTTATTATATATATATATTATATATATATATATAATAAAAAGAAAAAAAGAACAGCAACTTTTTAGGGGCAAAAAAAGTTGCTGTTCTTTTTTTCTTTTTATTATATATAATATTACTCGTACAGGAAAAACGTTTTTACTTTTAATATATATATATATATCAACAGACGGATTTTTGCTCACACGCGTCATAACCCAGAAGCTCAAACTTAAAACGTCACTCATGTTTATTCTATACTAGTACATATAAATATTATACAACAGATAACCATAACGAAATCAACGATAACAACTTTATATACAATGATATCTTACAGTCAGTGTTCATTAAAGCTTTAGACCAAAGTATTTTCTTTTCAACTTTATTCATATCGTGTCACGATTGTCCACGCAAATATCATATATTTAAGCCGAGTCAAGCACTAGGGAAGAAGACAGAACTTACTAATTCTTTAAACCTGTCCCCTTTACCACATTAATAATACAAATGGCTGATTTACACGGAAGATTCGTGAATGACAATCCTGTGACCAGCGTCCTACTTAAACTTTCCAAGCCTTGTCTTAATGATCTCTCACCCACACACACGTACACGCACGGAGACGCACACACACACACACACATGCATCTGCATAATCTTACTCTCCGTCTCAGTCACAAAGACACACAGCTCTCTCTCTCTCTCTCTCTCGCTCGCTCTCTCTCTCTCTCTTGCTCTCTCTCTCCTACATCTTCCATACGGAAGAACTATAACCCTGGGAGATCACTATCGAACGTCATGCACATATAGAAACATGCGTGTGTGCAATATTACGCCAATACCCCAGATACGTCCCCTCTACCCTGCCCCAAACGCTGCATCTTGAACCCCCTCCCACCAAAAAAAAAAAAAAAAAAAAAAAACTTAACTGTCTAATGGCCACCTACAGTGAATTTTTGTTAACTTTTGTCTATTTTAATTACACTGTATTTTTCTACATGTACGCCTTTTATTTAGCAGACCATCCTATCGAATATACTTATTCCAATGCTCTTGACTATTATCACAATCATATCACCTTGTGTATTGTTATATATAAATAAATGTTTTGTACAAGGCGCCTGATTTTCAGAGACGACGTGGACAAGCTTCTTCAAGCGCACCTCTTCCAACTTTGGTTATTGATAGAAATCTTATCGATAAGGAGATTTGAAAATGAAGAAGTAGGCATGTTTCACCTGAAGCTCGTGGATATCCGAGGCATTCACCATATAATGTTCCTTTTTCGTCCCGTCATTATATTACTTTATTGTTACTTTAAAAAACATGCATGTCTGTGCAAAAATCGGTGTTTAGCACTGCACAAACTGATTTCGTCAGACTTTAAGTTAAAGTTATTATTTTTGTCGTTAATGAGCTTCATTTGAGATTGAGTTCCTGGACAGAAAATGCACAATATAAGCCTAAGCTGGAAAGAAGTATCATTATGTAAATGCGATATCAGTCAAACTACACATCATTATATACACCCGTTATTGTATTTTTCCCAAACGTTTCGTCCATTGGTATGTCTTCGTCTAACATAAGTAGCCTACATTGGGTTAGCTCATATATTAAAACAAGTAGAGTAAATACACGTAGGGTCTACTATAATCTTACGCACGCATCTTTTATTTGTCTAACCTAACCTCACATCTTTACCAGTCTTTAAATTACCATTTTCAAACCCTTATCCGAGGTAATTTTGGCATTTTTGAGACATCCATATCGACATAAAAGTGACGTTAGCTAAATGCGAAGATGGCAAAACCCTTGTCAACAACAAAAAAAAACATCGTAACGATTCACAAATTTAGAGACTAAGACGTAGTCTGGTAAGTCTTTGTCTTTTTTGTTATACAGATACCATCCCGTTTTTTATTCTTCGCGCTATATCTAACTGGATTTCGTGCTGCCGCGCCTTTTGTCTGAGCGCAGCAATGCTAGTTGAGCGCCTGTCAGGATCCACAGGGGATGTAGAAACTTCCGATGGTGTTTTAGAAACTGGCGGCGACAGTGGTGGCGTCTGTCTTTCAGTTGCAGCAGTCTGTGGTTTTCCAGCAGCATTCGCAGTCATGCTAGCTAGTAAATGCTGAAACGAACCCGGCGGAGGGTAGATGAAATTTAAAGGAAGAGGCAAGAAAGGCCGCATCCCTATCCCAGCCACGCCACCTATCGGCGGGTTCAGTGTCTGCGACTGCACACGCGCTGCAGTTGCCATGGCGGCAGGGCTCAAAGCAGCCAATGGCGACAACGGAAATCTTCCTCCTCCTCCTCCCCCTATATGGTTTTCATACGACTTCAACAGCAAGTCATTGTACGCCTGATGCTGGGAGTGGTGTAATCTTGACGCCGCAGCAACGTTGAGGGCAGCGTTGAATGGGTGATAAGGATGAGACTGTGGCCCAACCTTCTCCTTCTTCCTCCATTTTGCTCTTCTGTTTTGAAACCATACCTAGAAGAGATAAAAGAAAGTTGAAATAAAATCCTGTATGCAAGAACACTCATTATGTGTTAGGGGAAACGAAGTGCCAGCTTGCTGTTAGGTTGGTGTAAAATCGAAATAACAGAGCAAACATGGAAAAACGTTGGTGATGTGAAAAAATTGCGGTAGTTGCTCCACTGCGTATGTGACTGATTGTGTTTTCTTCGCTAAGCAATGTTTTAGCTCAGCAAATGCAATCAGGTACACCCAACAAAATGCCTTATCAGTGTGTGTGCGCTGTTTTGGGTGGGTCAGGACTGTCCATTTTAGAATTATCTTGAAGCAAAATAATAATAATAATAATAATAATAATAATAATAATAATAATAATAATAGAAAACTCGATTGCAAGTAAAGTTAATTTAATTCGATGATTCCCGTCCAACGATTCGCCTGCTTAATTATGAAACGTTCACTGTTATAGTTTCGATTAAACTATTTTTCTCTCTCAGACATATCAGAGGCAAATTTCAGAGCAAAAAATAATTATTACACCATCATCTAACCTGATGTAGAAGGTTAAACAAGAACAATTACACGACCCTGAGGATCCCACAGCCACAAAACCAATACACCTGAGTTTATTTTTTCAATCCAAGTTTACTTAATTGATGTGTTTTTCTAACACGATTCTCACCTTGTGGTGAGTTTGATTTAGATAATTACATTTCCCACTGGGATCCTCGGTGTGTGTTTTACCTAATGTCCCCATCTCTGAGCCGCATTGATAAAGATACCTGGGTTAACATGTGAGCTGGACGCCGCCTACCACAATGTAGACACAACTCGTGTCCATTGTGCCTTGTGTAAACGTGACGTGAATGCCACAAAGGCCGCCGAACTCCAAAAGAAAGTATTGAAATAAGCAGCAACTTCTGTGATTAGATTAGCTTTGGAAATACTGCCAGAGTGCAGTAAAGTTAATTAAGCGCAAAATCATTACAAATTTTGTGTATTTTCCCAACGTGTTGCTTTCTCGGGAAAGTGGTAATATTTGGTTAATTAAGGTCTGAGGCAGCGCTAATTAGGAGAGGTTTGGAAAATTGACTAGGAAAACAGGTTCAAGGTTCTGCAGAGATCTAAAGAAAGACGGGATTTCGTTAGCGATTTTTGGTGCTTCTACTGACTGGTTTAGAGGCGTTTTCACTCAATTTGTACAGTAAAAAAGGAATTTATTTCCTGAGGTCTAATTCACACACAAAAAAAAATGAAATGAAATAAAATAAAATAAAGTAAATAAATAAATGAATAAATATAAATCGGTCCTAATACTGGACTTAACTTTTAGACCAAACCTTTAGCTTACTTTGGGTCATGTTAAACCAAATTAAATCCTATTAAACTATACATTGTCCCCATTTTTATAGCAAGGTGAATACACTAAAATTATCCTAAACTGAAGATTACCATATTTTTGTCAAAAAGTTTCGACAATTTTTAGTGCTTAAGTTATGTTGGGACGTGCCTCTGGTCTTTGAAGCAGTCAGTGTAATAATTATCAGACATACAGAAAGAGTAAAATTGAATCGCCACAAATTTTTTGAACGTCGGCAATGACTAGGTACTCGTGAATTGATACGCATTGAAAAGTCTGGAAATAGGTAATATAATTACGGAGGTGTGCATAGTCTTTCATTTAATTCTGATAATTGCAGTTGGCTGCCAACAACCCCCTTGGCCTTATTTTTTATTCAAAATACATGACAATGATTTAATAAGTACGGTTACGCTGCAGTGAACTCTACGCACTTACTTCTCATATTCTTCTCATATTTTATTTTTCATCATCGATTCTTTTATGTTGTTTTCTTCTCAATAACATTTTAAATAATTGATCTTCGCATTATAAGAACAACATTGTTGACAACCCAGCGTTGACAAGAAAAATTAGATAGAAAGAAAATTGACCAAGTCTACCAGCATATTTGTGAAGTGGGAAAATAACGAAGTTTTTTTAATCATCACTTTAAAATGGAGAATTGCCTACTGTAACCCCGTTGGGGCTTCGCATATATACAGTGATGACTGATACTTTTTTGTCTCAGGTAAAGCCCATATTATACCATGTTGACGCTTAAGGTCGAGAGAGTCAGTGCTCAATTTAAACAGGTGCGCTTTTTGAACTCTTTATTATTCTAAGTAACGCACTGTTTGATTATTTCATATTTATTTAGTTACAAAAACAATTTATGCTATAAAAGGACAAAGGCAAGTGATTATGCTTTTTTCACACCACTTTTCTATTCCTTTTTTCCCTACAGGGAGACTTAATTAAATATCGGATTTTATGAGAATCGACCTCTTGCCGCCATAATAGATCTGATTTCTCCTAAAATATTTACCACTCTCTTTTTGTTTTCAATGCCTCGAGAATTTTATCCAAACAAATCTCAACTGATTTGATTTAGGAAAAATCGTTTGATTTCCCAGCTTGTGCTCGTTCACATATAAAACCAAACCACACCATAACTTAGGTATCTATCTACGAGTGAGTAGACACTAGCTTTATATCAGAAAATGTATTACAACTGCATGATAAACAGGAAAACGAAGAGAAATAGTGTTACCAAAAACGAGCAATTCTAAATTGATTCATTCCATTCGTTGTTTAATTTCTTTCTTACTCTTTATTCTTAACGCACGTACAAAATCTTTAATGTTGAATTTAAATGATTGTAATAAAACTCATAATTTTTTATCAGTTTCGTTATTTATAATCTTAATTTGTAGTCCTCAAGTCTGCCATACAACAAATACAATTTTACAGGAAATTGAATTTCTGTTACCAAAAATAATTCAATCTAAAATGTTTCGTTTCAGTCATTATTATTTTTTCTCTGAACGTATACATGCAATTCCTTAATTGATAACTTAGACAATGGTAAAAGCAATGTTTATGTACAATAGACCTCTTCTATTCCTAAAGGCACTACCACACTTAGCGTAAGAAGGTATGTACGAGTATCGTATTTCACATTGTTTATACGCAAAATTTTGATTGTATGAAATCACCCCGTTTCCAGTGTATTTAAATGAAGGTTATAACAAGCGTATGAAATTGTTATTTTGGACTTGCTTAAAAAATTACATCTCCTTCCGGGTTTGCGAACGTTCACCAACGTTTGTCTGCGTACTCGACGTATACGACGTATGTCTACGAGCTCATTCAGAACGGCGGACTAACAGATCCGCGGATCTTGAAATAACAACTAAAAACAGAATTATCATCAGCACTCTAATAAGTTCTACCTCTAACAAGAAGCTTTTACACCAGGTAATAACGTGTATTATCCTAGCCCCTACCTTATAAGTGCACTTATTTTAACTTTGAAACGAGACCGCAAATACGACTTTATTATCACCTAAACCAAGCCATACTAAATCCGTTAGTATATTTACAACATACCAATCTAATAAAACCCCGCCTTTTTACCCTCTACCACGGTCACAGATTGATTTTTCACTAGATATTCACAGATATGTCTTTGTCTTATTCATGACACAATTATCTACTGTCGCGTTGGAGGAAAGTGCACAGAATTAATCTGCGATGCACACGCATGTCTCGCACAAAACACATTTTTGGAAGACACAGGAAACTAGATTCTCTTTTTTTAATCCGATATCGCCATCCCTAATTAAGGAGATTAAGCCCAGGGCAGTGGTTAACTTAAAGAAAGAAAACGAAGGTAGTTAAATGTTAATCAATAACACCTTATTCAACCCCGCGCTATTATGATGCTATTGTCACCTGTCGCTGACGAGAAAGTAATGCTCCTTTAAGTGTCCTGTTAAAGACCTCTCATCAACGCGAGTTGCTAGGAACATGTGTCACAAGCGAGCCGTCTGAGCGATGTTTACACTAGACGATCTGGTTCACTCAGGCAGCGTGCCTAGTGCGCGCTATTTGAAACCAAGGGACGCGCGATTTGAACACGCATGGGCATAACCAGGTTGGTTAGTTTTTTTTTCAATTTAGTAACTTTTTTATTCTTGGCTGTTAATAGTAGCGTTTGAGATTACCCAGTGATATCACTTTAATAAAACTTACTATACGTTCGATCTTGAATCGGATCTTTGGGAGGGGACGATCCAGTTATTCACGTGTAAACACGCTTATTGCCAGGCAGGTGAGTTTGGTTCATTAAGGAACGCGGAAATGTAATTAGATGAGATAGTCTGAGGATCAAGGGTAGGGTTAGGTAATGAGATAATTAAATTTAGCGGAGAAATGAAGGGAATGTTCCTAATGGACCTTGATGGAGTGAGGAGTCGCTGTTAGGCAATATATACCGGAGATCGTGATTACGCCCGCTTTCAGCCTGGCTTTACGGCAAGAATTTTTCATATCTTGGTGCTGTAACGTTATTTATCTTATCTCTTTTTAGCGTTCTTCGTATAGGCAAGTGTACAATATCCTCTGCCATTGATACAAACTATCTATCCAGTATTTTCTCGAAATTTAAAATGGTTTGTGGGAATTATATTGATATAAATATATTGTTAGAAATGTTGATATTTTTATTTGAAAATGTAAGTGAAATTAAAATACCTCGCACAAGTCCCTATTTAAAAATAAAATTATTGCGAAAACAGTATCATTTTTGCTCTCTTTATAAATATAATTCACTGGCAATGGTTTCGAAAACCGTCAAAAAACACACCGCAGGCATCATTCCTCTTTAGCAATCTTTTGACTTATTGCATGTTAGTTTTTAGTTTTTGTATGAGTAGTTTTTCTATTATTATGCTTCAAGTCTTACCGCTAGAGGTCGTTTTGTATTCAATGCGAATTTACACTGTATGCAATAAGCTGACAACAGAGGTGCGGCTTGATAGTGTGTTTGTATGGAATTTATAAGGTTGTATGACATTATCAAAAATAATTAGATTTCTTAGTCAATTATGTGTTTTGATTGATAAATTCACCGCAGAGTTCATTTTGTTGGCTGCATCAAGGTTGCTTCAGTGTACAGTTTATACAGTTTCAGCAAGATAATCATTGCTTCATAGGGAATGTGAAGGCCATTACTGGTATTTGACAAAACTTCGAACTTTTCCGAAATTTAAAAAAGTGCTTGTCAAAACGGGGTAAAATCTGCATCTCTTGTCTTTCACAAACGTCGCCGCCCTTTATGGCGCACAAAAAAAAACTTTTTCGACATTTTTAAAAGATTTAAGATCCAGCCATATCAGAGAGCACATATAAAGAATTTTAATTACTAACCTGGACTCGGGCCTCTGTTAGGTCTATTCTCAGTGCTAGTTCCTCCCTAAAAATAGAAAAAGATTTCTCATCAGTATATACTGTGGAATTAATGGCAAACTGAAGAAAAGAATAGCAAAAAGTTTAACGATCTGTCGAATCATATAACGCAGTGCGGTTACGTGAAAGATAAAACGTGAATTTACACGTTCGTGACAACCTATTCCGTCTTAGGCAAATGATATATTTTGTTCATAATTTTTTACTTAAATTCAGATTATTTTTTTATTATCTATTTTTTTCACTTATTTTCATTCAAATCTCTGATATATATTTTAAGAATAAATAAATAAACAAATAAATAAATAAATAAATAAATAAATAAATAAATAAATAAGAGTAATTGATAGTTCTATTCACAGATCTCTTTTTTTTAACCCTACTGAACAGGTATTTTTTGTTTAAATATGTAAATATTAATATTGATTTTGTTCATCAGCAATCATTTTGTTCTACCGCTGTAAACTGAACTCTAGTCAAAATTAATTTTATGATAGGTATTCGTAATTATCAACAAATAATTTTTTGGCCATGTATGTGTTTTCATCCTATTCGTGGATATTTCTATTATTATTATTAAGCGCATTGACCCAGATTTATAAGTAACTTGGTGGCAATCTATATATATCTGCACCTATACTGCATTTTCAATTATAGCTCTGTTTTGCCTAGTCTACCCTTTTTGTTCTAACCACGCGCGGAATGAGTAATTTGATAGACGGGGAAATGTGATATAAATTGCGTTGACAATTTCCTCTTCTTTATAATACAAATCTCTGCTAGTCGTTGAAATCACGCACGCAACATTCTAAAGTCCTGTTTACACATTCAATTTAGAACAATTAGACCTCGATCCAGGTTCGGTACGGATCTCTGCATGTTGTCATGCAATCTACGTTCAGCCGAGTCGTGATCAATCTTCGAAGTGTTTATATGAAATAAGCACACACTATACAATCTAAACAGACTCGCGTTTTGGCAAGTTTTTATAAATTCCCTTACACCGCAATTAGTCATTCACAAACTTGATTTTTGTAATTTGAATTATGTAAATAGTGGGGTTTCAATTTCTACAGACATACATCTTCACTATCATTTCACCTTAACCGCTTTCTACCCATGACTGAGAATATCAAAACCCTTGTAAAACTTTGCTTATGGATGATACCACCGTGATAATTTAGGTTAGTCATTCAGTTATATTATCCATAAACAATGTTTTTGATTCATTACTAGACTTAGTATTAAGTCTGACTGACGACTAATTACCTGTCACTTAAAAAAACGTAACACAATGTTCGGTTAATGTACTTTTGAATGTCAAACAGAAAATTATAATATTATATATAAATAAAGAATTGAAAAATCTGAAAATTAAATTCATAAAAAAACCGTAAGCGACCCCAGTGTTGTGCTCTCTCTCTCTCTCTCTCTCTCTCTCTCTCTCTCTCTCTCTCACACACACACACACACACACACACACACACACACACACACACCACATGGGCATTTCTCCAGCGTACAACACGGTGACCCGCACACATATAAACCACACTCACCTGCACGTAGGCCTACATACACATTACGTGACAGGTCTACCACCGTCCAATACCGCGACCGTGACACACACAAAACATAAGTCCAAACACAAACGTACGCGCGCAGACACACAAACGCACATGCACGTATCCACATATTGTTAACAATCGTACGAAGCGCAGAGAGAGAGAGAGAGAGAGAGACGTGTGTGTGAGAGAGAGAGAGAGAGAGAGAGAGAGAGAGCGTGTGTGTGTGTGTGTGTGAGAGAGAGAGAGAGAGAGAACACAGGAAACTGAGAGATAGACAGACTGCATATTTCAAGAGTCACCTCAGCCCTCTGTTCCACTCGGTGCGTGAACTGCGATGACCTTGGGCGCCGGGCCAGCAACATATGTGGACGATCAGTACCCAGTTTGTCAACTAATAAATATCACCGCTAAAGAACGCGGGATGACACGGCTCTCTTTAACTCCTAATAAACCCTTGTCCCTTTGGGCACAGGTCCTGACCTTAGATTAATAATTTTAATGCCAACTAGCAGTAATGTAATAATTTGGCGATATAATCGCTCATTTTCATACGCGCAGCTCCAGTTCTCGTGTGAAAATCGGTTCTAGTCTAACGTATTTAATTATCCGTACGTGTTTATCATGTCAAATTAATAAATCCAATTAGATTGTTCATCACTGCAATTACCCTCCGTTCTATACTGAGCTCGGCGGGGCAGCTAATATGACACTTTCAGATAGAGAGATAATAACAGTGCTTTATGGAGAGTTTTCCGATATTTTTTATCGCTGTGCGGTCAAATTTGCCAAATCTTCTCATCATCGAATATGTTAGCATTGATGGTTAAAATGTAGCCTAATTGCAAAGCAATGGTTATTATATTAAATTGACTGAGGTGTGGACTTCTTTGCTGAACCTCAGACCCCTCAATAATTCATTAGATTCTGTACATTTGAAGGTGTAATATAAAAGCATATTTTCACGAGGACCCACCAGAAGAAAAGCATTTTAGGTAAAAAAAAACTGAACATGATCAAGAGTTATAGACAAAATGGAAAATTTTATTTTCCTATCTCTTAGTCACGAGATTTCTTCATGAATGTATCTCTAATGATAATGAACTTTTGATTTCTTATATACGCTGAAAAAAACCCAGCAACTTTCCTAACCACGTCTTAAAGATCTAATAACTTCGATAATAAGTAATTATTTTCCAGCAAATTGAATTCTGGGTGATGATAATAATAAACTAGCTGCTATAATGATTTCACGAATTTAAATACTGATTTCCTATCCAAAATTATCAAAGCTTATGTTTTTGGCAACATTTTTAAACGCACTTTGCAATAAAAGGAAGGGTTTAATTCATAACATTGGAATACATACATATTACTGAATGAAACTGTATTGCTTTTGTTTTCCGGGCACGGATATGACATATCATTTAATTAATTAGATTAATCTTTTTGAGTAAAATATTCTTAATTTTAGGAATAAGAATAAAAGACAATCCTGAAATAGAATCACAGATGTAAGAAGGGAGTGTTTCTTTCAATGAATGACTTGAGTTTTCCCAATGTATTTTGTAAATAGGTCTTCAATTTCATTCTCACAATAATATCACAATGATTATAATAGCATCGTGGCTAGGGCATTATACGAACTCTTTCGTATGTCCTAGATTGTGGTAATCAAATGCGCCCTAGAAATCGTGATTATGTACAATAGAAATGTTTTTATATATTTTATACACATACATGAATGTTGCAATTTGAAAACATTTCTAGAACAGAGAGTCAGCAAATATGACAGACTATGCTTACAGTAAAGTGCGCAAAAAACTTCGTCATTTTTTCAATAGTATCGTGAAAACTCTTTATAAAGTTGATTAAAACTGGCAGTCAAACTCCCCAGCAATTGATAAATTAATTACATACGAAATGAACGTCCTGTGCGTTATTAAAGACATCTAATAATGGGAATATTAATACAGCGGTGACGCACTTGTCAACACGTCGCGATAAAGGACAGTGTCACGTCCTTATTTAGATTAAATATTCCTTGTTTTTATCTTTTAAAGAATAACTGTGCACTTATTGATGTTTACTTCGAAATTTAAAATCTCATTATTCATAAACTAGGTCCAGAAATGTGTTTGTATTTGAACCATGTAAAATTATTACATATGACTGGGTCTTAGCCTTGGTAAATTTTGGGTTCTGGAAAATATAAAATGTTGTTATTATTATTATTATTGACTCAGTTTAATCAAGTTCACACTGCTTTTAGAGGATAAAAAAACCTCCCGACAAATATTCCGTAATTTGCCTATGTAATAACCCTCATTACATGTAGTACATCTTAATGTATCACTTATTACATGTTGAAAGGACACGTTTAGATTCATTTCGACGTGTTAAATGGATATGAGATTTATAAATGAAAGTGAACATATGGTTTATCGTAATTGTAATTATCACTGTGGTATACTTGTCTACTGGTGATATTATGTCTGTGCTTTGAATACGCCCAGACGCTTACCTTGGTCTTCTGCGGCGGAGTTTTGACATTTTGAAGTCAGTTTGTAACTTCGAAATAAAATTATAAAAAAAGACGAAAAAAAAGAGAAAAAAGAAAACCATTGATTAAAGAGTTGAGATATCACGAACTGGTAAGTAGCGCAAAATGAAATAATTTTCACTTTTTTTGTGTGCAAATCGAAGATGAACGACGTCGATGACAGAAACCCAACGTCCACAGCCCTCCACCGTCACCTCACCCACCCGTCCAAAGACACCTTCCAAACCCTCTGCCGGCGTCTGTTTTCTTCCCCGGACCCACTCACACCAAACCCCCCTCTTTTTAACCCCACTGCCTGCACCCACCGACCCCGCTCCCACCCCAGTACAACCCCCTACATGCCCCGTCGTCCTCCTAATCGACCTTCCAGCGGCGTTAAAGGCACTCTCCGCGTGAATCAGAACTATGTATATTTTGGATTTTGGTATTTGTTTTTCTCAGCTGTTCACTACATATATATAACCCGTTATTAGTACTTCATCTGGTCCGTAATCCGGCCGGCCTGCTGTGTCGACCGTGAGCCGGTCACCCTGAGAATCGGCGAGAGTTTTGTTCTCATGCGCGCGGATGTGTCTGAATGAGACGATAAGGGCTACGGGCGTAGTTCAGTTGCAGTAATATTTTAGCTAAGAGAGGAGCAGTATAACACAGTACGCCAGGATACCAAGTTACCTATAAAATTCTGGATTATTTTTCTGTTCTTTTTCCGAGATTAGGAAAAACTTCATCATTTGGTTATCACGTATGCATACCCTGTTGTGCTAAGGAAATTAAATAAACACATAGCTCGTAAAAGAATCAAATTGGGACGCAGGTTACTTGATAATGCTGTATTACCCACAATGGACATAATACATACTTATATCTAGAATATCTGTATTGACTTTGGATTTAAATGTATAAAGTATCATATTCATAATATCAATCAATAGGATGGAACAATGGTTTTAGCAAACCCCAATGGACAAAGTCCTCATCTGTAACCGGAGAGTTATATGGTCTAGATATCTATACTGGCAAATGTAGATATTACACTTACGTTTCTCATATTTCTTTAAAACTTCAATAATTTATTTTGATAGTTTATTACGGGGGCAAACAGAGCGAATGGAATCCCTGTATTGTCTTAATTTTGAAGGGCTAGGTAGCGTAATTTCGCCTTATTAGCAAAATGTGTAAAATAAACATCCCAGGAAAAATTGTATTAATCGATTAATTCATTTTTCGATTATATTCTGTTTTGCTCGCCACAAAAGGACTGCTAAATACACACATATAAAACACTGATCACAATTTTAGTATTGGGATTTCAGGGTGTAAGTACATGTATGTTACAAGGTAAACGTGTTACCAGCTCGTTTATCTGACGTTCATCTGTCACCTATAGTCAGAGCGAGGAAATGAACGCTGAATTTTTCCGGAAATATTTACGGAAGAAGACCTTTTGTTTCAGTCTCTCAAACGTGTCAATGCATAACTCTTGTGTTACTGCGACAGGTTTTTTATTATCTGTTTTTTGTTTTGTCTGCTCATTTTAGTTTGCCATGTTTTCATTTGTGCTGAAAGCTAATATACTTGAACTTCGGGTAAAATCTATCAAGTAAACTTGTGCCCATCTGTTGCATGTAGCTCGCCATGTCAAAACGCTGTAGGTTTTTTCATCTTCTATCATTGTTATTATTTGGGAACCACAAAAGATACTCATAACTGTGAACTCAATTTCAAGGAACTAAAGTTTTGTGTAAGTATACATTTAAAGAAATTTCTCAACACCATAAAATGTCTACTTCTTTTTGTGGAGTATTTTTCTCATCTTTTGGCAGGTTTTATAACGTCTTCAGATTTTTATAATTATTGATATAAAGGCAGGTTCTCAGGTAGATTATTTTGTGAATAAAAAGAACAGAAGAACATATTTGTAAAGCCTTTAGTGCTTGCAATCAAACTCCCTCTTCTCTTTCTCTCCCTCTCCCCCCTGTCTCTCTCTCCCCCCCTCTCTCTCTCTCTCTCTCTCTCTCTCTCTCTCTCAAAATAGCTCTGTCTATAAAATGGCATCTTTCTCACGCGAACTACGACATAAACATAGATCACACAGACGGCAACACAATCCATTCATAACAACGTGTTGTATTTTATGTAGGTGTATATTAGTATATATTAGGCAAACTATGACTTACCTGGTAAACACATCGGGGTAGTGGGTCTTTTGAAACGCCTTCTCAAGTTCTTCAAGTTGATAACTGGTAAACGTCGTGCGGTACCGCCGCTGTTTTCTCTTCCCATAATCTGAACAGTCAAAGTCCCCGTCTCCGTCGTTCTCCGAGAATCCGACGTCGACGACGGCGACCGAGGCTTCCTCGCCCTGGTGATTACCCGGCGCCGGCAGCCCTTGCTGCTGTTGCCCGGGGAGGACCGTCACCGTGGACTTGTTGGGACCCTTTCCGTCCCCAAGCCGCAGTGGCCCGTGTTGGCTTACTGGGGATGACCCCCGTGGGGTGACGGTAACGACGTCGCGTCCTGAAGGAGACAGCATGTCTGGCGGACTGAGCCTCGCTGAGGACGCAGGGCTTAGCGTTAGGTGATTCTCAGACTTGGACACTCTCGGTGCAACCGCTGAACTCTCTGGCGTTGAAGAGGAATAACAATGTTTTCTGTCCACCATGTTTTGGATGTACGATATCGGAGAAAGTGAGTCTTTCCCGTTTAAATTATATTTTGAGTTTTCAGCTTTGATATAGTCAGTTTGAGAGACCAGCGTCACAGGTGATCGCTGGCTCGCGGAGACACACACCGACGTTGTGACGACAGACGCCGTGTCTTTTCTCAGGGGACCTGCCTTCTCCTCTTCCGTTTCCTCGTCTTCTTCGAAAGGACGGTAAAGTTTGTGCTGGATCTGTCTTTTTAAGTTTGAATCCATGCTTTCCGATTTTCTTGCTCACGATTGACTCAGACTATTGGAGAGTGAGTGTGTGTCCTGACGCCAATTCCGCTTTTAGCACCAGTCACGCTAACATTAATTGATCCGTCACGCTGGCCATATTCACTGGGAAAATAATTTCAAATTCGCAATGTGTCTTTTTCTTTTTATGATGTCCTTTCCTTAAATCGCAACTGTGAGCCAAGCCCCTGGGTGATTCTGCGTCCTAAATTGCAACTTCTAAGAACGAGAAATTTCGCGGATCCTATAAATTGTCCCCTGCTTGAACTATTGAAAAGTGTGTCCACCCGGGTGAGTAGGACGTATGCTTCGCTGGCAGTCCTGACGTCAAGTCAACAGGTTTGTGGAGCACGTGTAGTGCAGTGGAATGCCACCCGCCTGGGTCGATTCGGTCTCGCACTTCGGCGTCCCTAGTCCACCGAACACGGAGTCGTTCTATTCAAGGATCCCACGCCTTCCCGGATTTTTCTTTTCTTTTTTTGAAGCGCGTCACCGTTTCGGTGTTACAAATAGACAACTCTGCTAACCACTCGTGCGGTGCGCCTCCGTCTAGAGCGAAATAATTGTCTCCCAACCCTCTTCATTGAGTGGCTTGCCTGCAGCAATGCTGGTCCTCCGGTCCCTAATAACCACTATAATAAAGAGATAAAATTATAGCTGTACCTTTGCCTATGATTAAGGGAGAAATTATTACTGCTTTCACACGCGTTGACAAGTGCAAGAGCTTGATAAGATCTGAATTAATAGATTGGTGAATTACTGGATTGGACTGTCCAAAGAACGCACTCTAAGACCTCCCCCCCCCCCCCCGACTATGCTATGTCATTAACCAGTGTTCGTGATTTTTGACCCCACTGTAAAGTGTTTAAACTACATGGTATTCTGTTCAATATAGATATATCTTTTACCTGTGTTGAAGACTAATGCTCCCAACAAATTCAAAATACAGAAACATGGTTTGATCTAAAACACCTTCACTGTCAAAGACTTATCACCTGATTTAATCGCGTTAAACCGCAAATACACAATGCTCGAAACCTTTGGTGCACAATTCTTCCAGTATTCCCACAAAGGATTGGAAATTTCCTGACAAAGTTAAGATCAAGCCTTCCGCTGCCTTTGCCGCGGTTGGGTCGCAGCCTTTATCCGATGGTGAATTTTCGTTTACAATGTCCTTCCCATTGATAGTTGAGTAAAAAGTGTTCTCTGGTCAGTAGCAACACTGCACACCGATATACTCGTTCAGTACCTCACGGCTTATGTTCCGAGTTGACAGGGAGACGTTATTATATATAAATAAACGAACCAACCAGCTGTGGTCGAGGAAGTTACAAATTATTTCCATCGCCCATGCGGCCTCCAGATTACCAGGTGTAATTGAATCTAATTACAGAGCTATTTAACTCATTATCGTAATTCGAAGTACCTGCGTAAAGCAGCTTGTTTCGTGGCAGGTGTAAGAGAGAGATTTAATTAACACGTTAACGACAGAGCTCCGTGATTATCCTCAACTCGGTATAGCACAAAATGAATGCTGTGCCCCGAGCATGCGCAGATTGCGGTGCGCGCAGACGATAATATTTGGTTCCCAGGCCGTAAAATACAACGACAAAGGCCCGTCACGATGGAGAGTTCGAGAGCAATACCAAAGTGTTTTACTAAGTAAAATTGCTTCATCACGATTAAAAAGAAAGTCAATCAGCACAATTTGATTGTTTGGGTTATAATTCAAAAATATGTTGAATGAGACCGCCTCCGAACATCAGCCAAAGCGCACGGCGTCCTCATTCACGGCGCATAATAATGTAATTTGATTTAATTGGATTCTTTCTATATTTTAATGAACGAGATGCGACATTAAGTGAAGTCCAATTATCTTAACTCGGACTCGATTTCTTACGTGCCCCGGTGCTTAGTTTCCGAAACCAAAATTGTCTTTTAAACATCATTCTGTTTCAATACCGAAACAATTAACTCTCACCAAGGAAGGTTCTATTACTAAGAATGAGCGCGTTGTTATCGTGGCTTCCTTAATTTGTGCGAGCCGCCCTAAATTTGAAAGAAATTTGAACATTAAGTCTGTCGTGTATTGTACCAGTCCTCGCAAAATGTTTGGTCTATCGTTTTCTTTATGAAGTAGAGTAAATAGACACATACTGGTGCTTGTAATTTTCATACATGTTGCCCAATATCTCCCGTGACTTTTCTTCTCACAAATGGAATCCTATTATTCATGATTCCAGGTACTTTTTTTTACCCTTTTGAAATTAAAGCCAGGTTATCACAAAATCCATCCCTTAATTATTCTTACATAAAAAAAGGGAATGGTAAAAATTTGAAACTCGAAGAATATTTTACTTGCAACGTGTTCATTTCACTTACTTTTTGCGTTCTATAACAGAAATACTTTTTACTCTCTTTAACCCCCTTTCTCCCCATCCCCTTCGTTCTCTGCACTCCCCCCCCCATCCCCCACCCCTTTTCTCGCCACCCCGTCTCTTCAATTGGTGCACTTGATCGTCAAGTACATCAGATGTCCAACACATATCAAATTTCATATTTAAAAGACGTGAATGGGACGATAATCATACCAATTAGGATTATCTACCAGTCCCAGAAACATTATTAAATTAGTCTAATTCCCCGCATTAGACTATCCCTAAAATTGAGATATCTCTTCCATCTGTTTACGGTGCTCGCGTGGGAAAATTGCCGTGAAGTTGAATATACTGATTTCCACGATAGGGATAACCTGTAGTTTTAGTACCGTATCGTTTAGAATATATCGTTATTTAAAGTCAAAGCAGGGAATTATATTGTAGACATAATTCCCTGGTCAAAGTCATTGTATAATTGCACTGTACTTGAACTGAGACAAATAAATAAATAAATAAATAAATAAATAAAGGTGAAATTGTTTATGTATAATGCGAATATGCATAGTGTATTACGTTGAGTGCATTGTACATGTCACTGAATATTAACGTAAATAATTCACACATACATGGATACTGTGTGAAACGTGAGTATCATCTTTTCTCCCTTTTTATTAAAATATTTAATACATTTGCGTATATATAATTTGTGCACATGTTCTCGGTATTTGATCTTATAATATTAACAAGTAGTTTGAAACATTGATTAAGGTGATATAGACGTGGTTATCAACACACACGGAGATTAATTTCATTATTTCTATAATCATCTGCTGTTAAAATAGGTTTTGATTTCTGAAATGACCCTATTACGATTCAATGGGCGCTGCAATAATCCAGCGTAAATATTCTCAAATTTCTGTTAATCAATGAAATTTCTCTAATGTCATGTTTGACACTTGGCAATGCACTCAGCGCCTCTGCGTCGTCAAGTTCATTTTAATTTCACTGGCAAAACCAATGCTTTCGGTCTAAGTGTTGAGTTATTTGTTCTGTGATTATCATCACGTCATTAGATCGCATTTTGAACCATTAAAACTGGTCATTACAAGTAATAAAGGCAATGAAAAGTGAGTCAAATTAATTTAACTCTCATTATAATGCGCCTTAAAAATTGAGGAGTGGTGATAATTTTTCCTTATGATGGAAGTTTTACGTGTGTAGATTTGAGGTTCGATAAATATAAGTATTTCAGTGCCTCCTTGGGGATTCTGTTATTCAAAAAAAGATAAAACTAATAAACTTTAATGAACTGTCATTATTATTACCATATTTCCTTATGGAAAAATCTGTGCTGGCGAGGAACTGTTATTAACAAGCGAGGTTGTACTTGACATTTCAAAAACATCTGATTAAACGAACTGATAAGATCCCGATTAACGCTAACAATTATAGTCTTGGTTAAGGAGTAGCGTTTACTAAAAAAATGAAGATGATTTATTTAGAAATGATGATGGAGCTTCATATATGTATCTAATAATAATAAAAAGGAGTGGACCTTTTTTCAACAAACAAAATCACACTTAAGAATTTGTCTAATTGGGCAGATTTAATTCCCATTTTAAGTGCGGTTTTGTTCTTGAAGATATTGTACTAAATTATTGTAACAATTCACTCGAATGGCAAGCTGACAGTGTGTTTTCAAGTAACTGTAGGCCAGTCAGATTAACAACAAGCAAGACGCTTGACAGGACGTAATAGAGGAAACGGGGAAGGGAGGCAGAGAAAGAGGAGAGAGGGTAGGGTGGGTCGATGAAGAGAGAGAGAGAGGGGGGGTGGGGGAGTGGAGGAGGAGGAGGAGGCGGTAACATTGGAGAGGGGTAATGTTATATTTGTGACATATCAGTGGTAACTGGTCGTTGTTGCGCACACGCGTTTTTTTTTTTTTTTTTTTTTTTTTTTTTTGCGCTCGCCTCTGCTTTCTGTCGGTGTTTGCGTCGTTTTAAACTGAAAATACACTAAGTTTGGAATACTCGGTGGAACGTTTTTTTTTTTTTTTTTTTTTTTTTTTGCTTTTACAAAAGTTGGAGATGTGTTTGTGTATGCGGGGTGGGGGCAGGGGTGGGGGCAAGGGAAAGACAAAATGAGTGGTTAAAGGTAACACAGCCGTGAGAGGCCTCAACTTAACCATTTTTTTACAACAAAGGTTATGCTCCGACGCTAACCTAAAACTGACAGGGTACTTATTACTCCAAACAAAATATATGGATTTCTCAGTTTCACAATTTGTATGGAGCACAGTAATGACACTGGGGTCTGATCATTATGGTTGTAAATTACTCTTCTGCCATGTCGTCATTTCTTGGCTGATTACAGTGGTTGAGAATTCTCCATAAAGGCACGGTATTTAACGTAGCTGAAGGACGACAATTGGCTAGATGGAGAGATTAGATTATCGTCGCCACTGTCGCCATTTTTTATTCTTTTTGCCGGTGACACTGCTGAAGTCGTTTTCTTTGCTAAGAAATGTTTTATGCGAGAATTTGACATGACCGTGTCACACTAAATCATCCACAGTGTAGTGTTTGAGTATAGGTAGATAAATGGGTTGGATGCGAAAAGAGGAAATATCTGATGGCCATTTTTACCTAGGGTGTATGAGGACCTTAATTTAATTTTGTAATTTCAAGTCAGCATGAGCTGTTTTATCCGAGTTCATCTATACTGTATATTTGATTCACGTTAAAGGTAGCTTGGGATTCTTAATTTTGTTGATGGGATGGATTTATAGTGTTTTCCTCAAGGGAACATTTAACTCTGATCTTAAAGGTCGAATTTGACTTACAGGTTATTACGTCAGCTCTTCTTGCCAATTTTTTTTAATAAAGTGACATTTCATGGTAGGCCCTAATAGCTCATATAGATCAAACTACAACAATTGAAACACGCAATCTGGAACAAAAATTGAAGAGGAAATTTGGCTTTTGTGTTTTGTTTGTTTATGTAACAGAAAAAAAGGATTTCCAGAATCTAATATAGCGATTAAACCGCTTAGAAAAGTGCAGGAAAGGTATTAAATGGGACGAAGAAATCTTTCACAGTGCAAGTATTTATCAAACAACCAGTTACATTACAGATGTATGCAGGCATATCGATATCGCCAAGAGAAAAAGGATCTTTACTCGGTTATGTATTATGAAAAGAAATACATGTCCCAATCGATGGTTATGAGGGAGAAAAAACGTATAAATATCAGTTTGGGTTCCGGCTGAATCAGTAAGAACAGACCTATAGATTTTTTAACTCAAACTATTCTACAAAATGTTTTTACTTTTGTCCTTCAAACAAAAGGCACGCATCAAAGTTCCGCTTTACCCTTTGTCCTGTTCTGCAAATAATTACAAAGCAGTTATTAGATAAAAACCCCCAAATATATTACTTTTTTAGCAAGCTCGTTTTCTCTTTTCTGTTTACATTTACCGGAAGTGCCGTAAATGGGTGTGGATTACGATATCGTCTGCGCCGGATAGGAACTTTGTGTTCCTTTCAAATGCTTGATCGGAAGTGCCAATTTACACTCAATAGAACGCACATTCAATGTTAAAAAGTTCAAACCCGTGAAACTTTCCCGGTTGTTGATTTCACTAAATGTGCTCAATATAAAACTTACGCGCCAGTGATCGACAGAGAAAAGGGACGTTGTGTAATGAAGATTTCTTAATAAAACTGCTGATTTACGAAAATAGCCAATAATAACTGTCGATTGATTCGTGTACGTGCATGCAAGGCGTTAATGGAGAGAGAAAGAGCTATTTAATCAGATTAATTCCGCTTTGTTTGCGACATTGCCAAAAAAAAAAAAAATGATAGGGGCCTAAGCCGGAGAAATGTGACGGATCCAGACATATTACTAATAATATTGAACTGACCGTTTAAACATGGACAAAATTACGTGACAATCTGCACTGGAGACCACCCGCCTACTTGACCTATAACACGCGACATCTGCCACTTAACAAAGCTACATGTACTTGTACTACGCATTTTCATAATTAATAGAGTGACCAACAGCGTATTCAAAATAGGCTAATATTTTACTAACAATCGAATGTTTAAAGATTATTGAAGCCTGTATGATTACCTAATGTCTGATTGACTGGTGTCAGGGTTTATCACTAATTCCTGAAAAAAATATTTCAAGATTTATGTACCCTAAGCGCTGCCACGGAGAATAAGGAAACCTTATGGTACCACAGAAATAACAAATTCCCTTTTTTCCCCTTTACAACTATTGATGATGAACCGATGTATTGGGCCATCTTTCTGTACTTCTCCATAGTATTTAAGAAACATAGTTACAGGCAGTATTCCTTTTTATCAGTGCCAACTTTTTTTGACACCGTTTACGGAAAGGTCATTGTCCTCTGCTCTAATACAATGAACTCGAGGTCAATTTGTTTATCGTGCATCCGTATAGTCTCTCCTTAACCTTAGAAAAATGACAATGAAACCAAGCTTTTAACCCCGCCTGTCACGTTTTGTAATTTAAAAGTCCTATGTTGAATTTTCAAACATCCTTTTTTTCTTTGATATTCATATTCTTTTAGGCATGCAATACTTCGTTTCGAGACAATTTTCAGGTTATTGCTTACTTTCTAAAAAACGACTTACATGAAAAAGGGCTTTAATGGCACTCCCTTCCTTCAATATATATCAGATTTTTATCGTTTTTCCCTTTTTTATCGTTTACATTCGCCGATTTCCATAGCCTTTTCTTTAAATATATGCAGGAATAGAGACGACGGATCTATTCTCAGCTGGAAAAGTGACGGTTTAGAGTAGAAAAACAGTTAAAAAACGGCTAGGTTATTTTTAAATTATCAGCCTTGTAACAGTTGAGGCAGGTATAGTAAGTCGGGGCACTATCCTGGAGTTACTTTAAAGCATTATAAGTAATGCAGTTTGCAACAGTGCCGATCACGTCTCTACGATCTCATTCCCAAAGCTATCGTTTTACGTAGATCGATCCAACTCCGTATGGACTTTCGCTGAATGCAATCAGATTAACACGTCTTTGTGGAACGATGGTTTCATTGGTAATGAACTGTAAGTCTGCGTTTTCTCCTAGTCGTCAGCTCAGCGTTATCCAACGTGAATATGCAGATCGCAGATCACAGGGATATTCTAAAACGGCCAAATATTTAGGCCCTATTAGCCCACCATTTTAATACAGTCAGCTTTTTTTCTCGTATGCGTGCATTCACGCATGCACACGTGTAGGTACCTGCGAACGTGCGCTCGTGTTTGTGGGCGCACCTGCGCTTGTGGATATTCGTCCGAGACATACCCAAGTACCGCAACGACATAATGATAAAAAGTCCTTCACACAGCGAGTGGTATATTTATTCATTTTGTAAGGGTACAATTTTAGGTGGCGCGCTACAGAGGATTTCACTCCCTTGCACAATCTGCCTACAAGTGCGATCGCTACCTGCGGTTTAGTTATGTTAATTACTTGGCCGAGTCTCCGCTTAGGTATGACTCTCTTACGCAATTACCAGGCTTTTAAGTTAACCATCTCTCAAAGCGTACCGATACACGCCGTATCGCTAAAGCATACCGCTCAATGTTAAAAGGGGCTAGGTCTGTGTCGAACCACAGCAGCAGGTAAGTACTACGAGATGAAACCCAGATATTATAGAAGAATTGGGGATAATTAACCAACTTATTATCCATTAAACACCACACTTTACCTCAGTAAGGTTTCCTTGAAGGGAATTGATATCGCTTCTTCGGTGCCTGCTTGGCTGCGTTCCAAGTCTTCTGACAGTTTCCCAACCGTGTTCCCAAGAAAATGCCTTCTATTCCCTTGATGACAGTTATAATGACTTTAAGAAGTGTCTACCTAATAGGGTGAATGATGCGACAGCTTTGCTTTTGTACTAACATCTTCGTAAGTGTCGTTGTAAGGTCAAATAGTGCGACCGTCCTTTCAAGGGACGCGTGCAAAGGTTACGAAACCCGGAAAAAATTATCAGTACACGACACTTATGTCACTCAGTGCTAAATCTAAACAAAATGACTACACTGAAAGGGGCGGTATTTCACTTCTTCGAATTTGTGTCAAGAAAAAAAGAAGAAAAAAAAAGAAACGCCTTGATAAAAAAGTTTTTCCTAAGCGGCAGAATGCTCAATATCTTTCATCTGAGAAAACTTCAAAAGCTGTTTTTAACCTTACCTACAGCATGCCGTAAGAATATGTACCGCAGACGCTGTTGAAATCTGCACGAACTTTCAGAGTCAAGGCTAGGTCAGGCGAAATACCATGACACGTAACTTTTGGCAATGTAGATGTCTTTTCCTGACCAACCAAAGGCTGACGAAATCTTACTTCATTGAAGACAATCAAAGGTAAATCTCAAATGTCAAGCATTTGCATGGCGTTGTCCGTGTCACGCAAAGGTCCAGTACAGTGGACATTTTGGCGTCGCGGAAACCACCGCTGTCCTTTAAAACAAAACGTGCCCAAGTATTACGACGCACACGGCAAAAGTCACGAGATTCTTCTAGGAGGAATGAAGCGTACTATGCCACAATGTGTGCATACCGTTGGTCATAAGAGGAATTTTTTTTTCTTTTTTGTCCTTTTTGATATCACTGTTTTGCAGCTGACGTGGGTAAATTACGCGCAAGCGAATTTGTTCGTGCTCACGCCCTTCCCCGCTCAAAGTCTGTTGGTTGGTCTAACAGTGAGGTCCGCCGTAGTTTTCCTTGGCTTGAATTGTAGTCCTGTTCTAGAAACATACAATTAGAGACTTCGTCATTTAGGTTGATAAATTGAAATAAAACTACACTAGCTTAACTGTCATTACGCATTCGATAATGTCATTGGCACAGTGATTAACGCAACGTATCGTTTTTGTCTTTTTGTAAGAACTGTCGCGTCCCTTGGGCATGCGCTCTACACAGTGTACGCGATGATTATAATAAGACAAGGGAGTGAATTGCTCGTGCAAACCCTTCATGCGCTTACCGTGAACTACTCCTTTTGGTGATCTGTTCGGATAGAAAAAAACTGGTTCCGTTCAGCACAGGGTATTGACCAGAGTTTACCTCAGAAGCGATTAAGAGAGTACAAGGGCGCTCGTGAATTCCCTCGTCCGACCCTCTTCCACTTGCTTTCTTCCTATTTCACACGATCTCTGCGATGATCTGCCCCGACGCTCTCGTCACCCGAGTCACTTGTACAGAACGCCGTGGCAATTACCAGTATCCCACAAAAACAGCCGTTAATAACGATGTTGATATTCCCTCTATTTCTCATATTTATACATCCCTCCGATCACAATACCGCTAACTCGGGCCTTTCACCGAAGAATAATATTGATAACGTTCGACTCAATTAGTTGGAAAATACTCCGCCTTCCCTTGCTATTCTCCAGCGATAATTGGGAATCTTGTATTCCTTACGTTATGTCAATAAGCGATAATCGTCCAAATTCAATAGTAGCTTTACTCTTTCAATTAACAACGGTTGTGCTGTGATAATTGTACATTTTTCGCGTTGCGGCGAAGAGAAATAACTTCTGTTAATGGGTTATATACATTTAATAAAGTGAACAAACAGAAATGTGTGTTGACCGTGCAGGGGAGAAGGGGATAGGGTCAGGCCCCGTATTCGGAAGGAAGTGGCGTTTTGTTGATCCAATTACGGCGTGCAAATTTTCCCTCCTCTCGCCCGGCAATTGAATTAATTTACTGTAACAAATTTGTTTTGCATCCATCGTTTCGAATCATAATCGACGGTTTTTGACTTTTGAAGTCCAAATCATTCGCTCTTTTTTTCTTTTCTTTTCAATGTGTGCTGGCTATAATTAGACGTACGTAATAGGATCTTTAAAAATACTTATTTGGAACAGAGTAACTTTTCGAATGTTGAAGTCAAGCTTTAGAAATTGAATGCTCTTTAGGACGTGACACACAGTTAGCTGAATAAACGTTTGTTTGTTTGCTAGGAAATATACAATGTAGTAGGGCAAACAAAAAAGGAAAACAAGACAGGGGTGACCCAATCCGGGCCCCCGGGGTACCACCCCCTTAAAAGTGGCCCCATATTTGAGCAGAAGGGTGTATTTTCTCCTGCTTAAGCCAACAACTCTGTCTTCTTTATCTTTTTCGTCTCTCTCTCTCTCTCTCTCTGGCAGACGCACGCCATACGCACACACACACACACACACACACACACACCCTCTCTCTCTCTTCCAAAGCAACGCACGCTAAACATACATACGCGTGCGATCGGCTTTTGACATGATTTGAAAATCACAAGCTCGTTATTTTGTCACTTTAAGTTAATGTGGTTGAGGCGAATCAGACGTATTCTGGAAACGCACAAGAGCGACATTTGGTTCTTCTTACAGCTGGGTTGGAAAGATGTCATTATACGTTTTGGAAATGCGGCCACAAGCAGGTGTATGATATAGAGGGGGTGATAAAGAAGAAGAAGAAAAAGAAGATCAAGAGAGAAAGAGAGATGGAGGTGATGAAAAAGAAAAACACTAAAAACACAAATCACATTTAAGTTTCCACACGTTTGTCAAACTTGCCTCGAGACACGTTTCAATAATTCACAGACACCTGAGGGACCCTGTAAACAACGCGTCAAACACATTCCCGAGTTAAAGCAAAGAAAAACCCGGCATCTGTTACCATCCCTGTGTATCTCAATATTAGCACAGAGTACGAGACGCTGTCTTTGTATGGGCGCCGCTAATTAAGCAAAGTTCCTTACAGAAGAAAACCACAGTAAAAGAAACCGACACTCCTTCACAAAAGTTGATTTCGAAAAATGAAAAATTGACGATGAAAGGCTTACAGAGAGGCAAAGAATTAAGTGATATCAATTAAGTAAACACCAGCGGCTGGATATGTTTTGAAAAATTCGTTACTAACTAATTAAGGCCATTTAGGTTGATAAAAGGGGCGATATTGAATTTCGATTCCTGCTTGCAACTGCATTGTCAACGCTCTTTAACTGGTTTACAATAAGCGAAGTCATAAAAAAATAGGACAAATTGATTACATTTGCTGGTATGTCACTGTGTGGTTTCTAATTTACAATGCAATTGATAGCCCCTGTAAAGCCGGAAGCTCTTCAGTTTGTGTGGTAAACGTTGTGGGATAGTTGACTTAAAAATTTAGACCAGGTTCGAAACCAAATCATGGATTAGCAGAGGGAGAGGGGAGAGAGCTGTGCGCGCATTTCACACAGCCGCAAGCGCGCACTCGCGCGCGCACACACACACACACACACACACACACATGGAGAGAGAGAGAGAGCTAATTATATCTCCAGCTAGAAGGCTCTAGGAGCGGAAGCAGAACCGTATCCGTTCACACGCCAACACAAGACCTCTATATTTTATTATTATCGAATAATCATCCCTGCTAGTAATATTACTGTATGGCGATTCATATATTAGGCTCTAATGGCAAAGTGATACGCGCAGCGCACGAAATGCGCCACGGCCTGAAGAAATCGTATACTGTAATAAATTTGATTTGGTAGTTTAATACAGCAGTTATTGGCATTTCATATTCCTTTTATTATTTCCAGCATGCACACACGCGCACCGATGAGCACGTGTGGTTTTTATTAAACACATTACTCACCGCCCACCTCGCGCTCTCTCGCTTCCTCCCTCCCTCTCTCTCTCTCTCTCTCCTCACACACACACACACACATACACACACACACACACACACACACACACACGCTGCCTCTCTCTCACGCAAACATCTAAAGCTCGGAATAATTTCCCAATTCTAAACATAGTCTAAGAAACTAAAACAACACAATTACATCCAGAAAACGAGTTTATGCTACATTAACAGGGGGCACCTTGCAACTTTGCAAGCAGAAAGTTTTTGGAAAGGTATTTTGTTGAACTATATGACAAAGCGTCGCCATTGAAACAAGAGTAAATAATTGGCTAATGGCAAATGTAGCAGTACAATAACGTTTTCACATGTATCATTATATGTTCGCAAGATCTTTATTTAGCATAATTAGCCTGGAGTGTTTGAGCATTTTATATCCCAATCACTTTACTGTTTTTATGTACAGACACCGATGTGTCTGTACATATAGCCGTCACCTGCGTCTGTCGTCGCCGTGCACTTTCACCGATAAAACGATAAGCGGAAAACCATTTTACCTTTTGGCTTGTTAAAATTAAACTTTACTCTTTAATGCCTTCCAGCCAGATCGTTGCTGAATATAACAACACTCTGTTGGGGGTTTTGATGACCTGAAACAGGACGCTTTACTGTAAGTTTTAAATTGTTATTTTTTACTTCATAGGCCATATAGGAAAAGTGACCGTTGTCCTTATGTGAAAAAATCAGGATCAAAGGGGAGGATAAAGTTTTTATTTACCATGTTTTCACCCTTCGTGAATAAAGTGTAATAGTTAAATAAATATAAGAAATGGAATTGACAGGCTGCAACCACACCTGAAATGCCTTGAAATATCTGAAAACACCTAAAAACCTACAAAATCTAAATATACATCTACCCATAATTACTTCAAAATCGTTGTAGGGCTGCAAATGACTAGTGGAAAATGACACTTTTTATGGAAATTACTTTGCACTTTAAAAGCATCTTTTATTGCAATAAGGAATTGTTTTAATTACGGCAGTTTACCTAACATTTAAGGTAACAGCAGGATTTTGGAGATAATAAAGCGTTCGTTTTACACTCCTTTACCGTCTGGTGACGGCAATAAAAAAAACCCTCACTTGAACTCTAAAACTTATAGCATTTTTATTGAAAAACGCACGAACTAAGAACATGCATGCAACTGGCTCGGTCTCAAGTAACATTATTTAAATGTATGAATAATTCGATTAAGAGACCCACGGGAAATTAGACTTAAGATGACGAAACACCCATAAAGAACTGGGGACTTCCGGCGTTCTTCCACAAACACGAAAACCTTCAATCTCGCTCATGTGATTTTTCTCCACTAAATTACTAATCAAATTAATTAGAACCCGTTGTGAGGTTTCGCGAGTAGGTCAGGTTGGTGCCTAAATTACCAAACAAGTTCACACGATACCACACGTTTCCTGCTGCTGCTATTTTTGTATCTAAGACGGTGGAAAATCCGATTTCGGTTGTAAAAAAAGATTACGCAGACTGTCAGTTCAACGAGACCCGGCGGTGATCTTGAATAAGAATCGTTGGATTTAAGTATGTTCTTATTAGCTGTACGACAAATTCCTTGGCTTAAGATACAAGCGGCGTAGAATTTTAGTATTAAATTTGGGGGAAAATAATTCTCTTGAACAGAATTTGACGGTATATTTCTTTATATATATTAGCTAGGATGCAATATTTGTATTAGAAATTTGTAAGTAAGATGATGATAAACGCAAATAATTAGTAACAAATACACAAAGGATCTCATCTATTTTACTTGTATCCATTTATAATGTATATTGTATAACACTATATCGATTTTTCCATTTATTTACTATCATTAATATTAATGTAATAATAAAAATATTAATAAAATATTAAGTAATTAGAGAGACTTTTAAATGTAAAAACATTTCTGTGCTCAATAAAATTACTAATCAATATACCTAGATATTACTAATAATATTTCAATGAGCACAGAATGATTTTTATTCGCTTCTAGGCTCTCAATACTGAAAAGATCAATTGTTTTTCTTAAGCACCTCTAGTTCCGAAACTGCCTTCGTGGCTGGTTCAGCGCCCCCAGTGTTAGTTAGGAACTTACACTTTCAAAACATTTTACATACAGAATGAAAAAAAAATTCGGCAAATAACAACACATGAACGGCCTTTGACGCTGATCCTTTTACAGGCACACCGTACGACGAGAATGCAGTGACAGTTGCAAAAATCGCTTATCCATAATTCAATTTGTTATTATTTTCTTACCTCTCGGCTTGTAACCGGAGGTTCTAGTGCGGTTCCATTACCCCCTGACACTAAAAACTACCCCCCCCCCCCTTCCCCTCAAAGAAACGAAAACGGTCTAACAACCAAAACGTATCTGAAAATTTCACATTTTATTTAGACATAGTCCCCCATACAATTATATATACTGTACAACATTAGAGCGAAAGAGTTCAATTTTGGTAGTTTCCGACTTCACAGTTTTCGGCACCAGTTTCTCATTAAAATGTTTGTGAAGTACACAATGCATGTGAATTATTGAGAAATTGTACACAAAAGTTCAGTGCCATATTACTTATTTTTTCTCATGCGAAGGGTTACCCATTTCTTCGCTTGTCATAAATAATAGCATCTTTATACACCATCTGTATCATAAAAACGTATAGGCAACATGTTACTTTTTTTTTTAGAAAATTCAAAGTAAATATTATACATGTCATTTCATGTCAAATCAAAATTTATCATGTTCTTTCAACTTTTATCCTTTTAAATTTTTGCAAACAATTTCAAACATCTGGTACATAACCCAAGTCCTATTTAACGTAAAAATAATTTTTCAGGAAAAAATATAATTACACATAATAATACATGCCATTTAACTGAGTGCTTTTTAATTCATGTTATTATGGAAATTTTGCACTTAATTAATCATAAATCTTGCTATTTATTAAGTACATCTGTCACTCCAATTACATGCTAAATCTTATGTAAAACTATGTTAATCAGGACAAAAGGATAATAATACATGTGTAATATTGGACATAAAGTGACACAAACATGCAAACATGGCTTAAGACACTTAATAGTACGCAACAGATCTCTTATCTACAACAATTAAATGATCATAAAATATCAATTACATTTAATCTGCATCATGGTTTAACAGGGTGAAGTTTTTTATCATTAAAAAGATGAGAAAAGAGAAAACGATGATAATGTGCTTCAATGTTCAACAAGGGGGTATGTTCACAACTTATTAAACAGACCGTGGTGATTCCATAAAGAAGTGCCCTGAAATTGGCCAGACTCACACCAGCTGACCAACACTGAACCAATGAGGATTTTTATAAGAATGGCATCATTTCAAATAGACCAATCAAAGTCCGGTGCAAGATTGACCTTATTTCAAACTGACCAATCAAAGTCCAGCAACAACTTCAGGCAAAATGACCTAATTATTTCTGGCCAATCCAAGTCCAGTGGTAGATTGACCTTATTTCAAACTGAGCAATCCCAGCCCATCAAATAGGGTTGCAAGACTGACCTGGGAGTAAGCACTTACACGAAGTTTCTTGTCTACGAATGTCTTCAAAGTGAGGTAGGAATCCTCATAAGGGTTGGTGTATCTTTTGGCCAGATCTGCAACGAGAATAACAATGACATAATATTAATTAATAAAAGCAAACAACTTGTTCAATAGTGATGAATGAAACAGTTGAATGTCCTGGCCCACTGTGACATTATGTATTAAGTAAAGCTGTCACAAGGGAAGTGTAAATTCACCTTGAGACTGGCCTCTGATTTAATGCAACCTGCACAAATGTGATGCCAATATATAAATAAATAAANCCCCCCCCCCCCTTCCCCTCAAAGAAACGAAAACGGTCTAACAACCAAAACGTATCTGAAAATTTCACATTTTATTTAGACATAGTCCCCCATACAATTATATATACTGTACAACATTAGAGCGAAAGAGTTCAATTTTGGTAGTTTCCGACTTCACAGTTTTCGGCACCAGTTTCTCATTAAAATGTTTGTGAAGTACACAATGCATGTGAATTATTGAGAAATTGTACACAAAAGTTCAGTGCCATATTACTTATTTTTTCTCATGCGAAGGGTTACCCATTTCTTCGCTTGTCATAAATAATAGCATCTTTATACACCATCTGTATCATAAAAACGTATAGGCAACATGTTACTTTTTTTTTTAGAAAATTCAAAGTAAATATTATACATGTCATTTCATGTCAAATCAAAATTTATCACGTTCTTTCAACTTTTATCCTTTTAAATTTTTGCAAACAATTTCAAACATCTGGTACATAACCCAAGTCCTATTTAACGTAAAAATAATTTTTCAGGAAAAAATATAATTACACATAATAATACATGCCATTTAACTGAGTGCTTTTTAATTCATGTTATTATGGAAATTTTGCACTTAATTAATCATAAATCTTGCTATTTATTAAGTACATCTGTCACTCCAATTACATGCTAAATCTTATGTAAAACTATGTTAATCAGGACAAAAGGATAATAATACATGTGTAATATTGGACATAAAGTGACACAAACATGCAAACATGGCTTAAGACACTTAATAGTACGCAACAGATCTCTTATCTACAACAATTAAATGATCATAAAATATCAATTACATTTAATCTGCATCATGGTTTAACAGGGTGAAGTTTTTTATCATTAAAAAGATGAGAAAAGAGAAAACGATGATAATGTGCTTCAATGTTCAACAAGGGGGTATGTTCACAACTTATTAAACAGACCGTGGTGATTCCATAAAGAAGTGCCCTGAAATTGGCCAGACTCACACCAGCTGACCAACACTGAACCAATGAGGATTTTTATAAGAATGGCATCATTTCAAATAGACCAATCAAAGTCCGGTGCAAGATTGACCTTATTTCAAACTGACCAATCAAAGTCCAGCAACAACTTCAGGCAAAATGACCTAATTATTTCTGGCCAATCCAAGTCCAGTGGTAGATTGACCTTATTTCAAACTGAGCAATCCCAGCCCATCAAATAGGGTTGCAAGACTGACCTGGGAGTAAGCACTTACACGAAGTTTCTTGTCTACGAATGTCTTCAAAGTGAGGTAGGAATCCTCATAAGGGTTGGTGTATCTTTTGGCCAGATCTGCAACGAGAATAACAATGACATAATATTATTTAATAAAAGCAAACAGCCTGTTCAATAGTGATGAATGAAACAGTTGAATGTTCTGGCCCACTGTGACATTATGTATTAAGTAAAGCTGTCACAAGGGAAGTGTAAATTCACCTTGAGACTGGCCTCTGAATTAATGCAACCTGCACAAATGTGATGCCAATATATAAATAAATAAATAAAATTTAATAAATAAAATTTAAATTAGATAACAATTACAATGAGCATGTAATGTTGCATTGGTTACCCCCCCCCATTGGTCCAGTGAAAGCCATGAGTGCACAAGTCCTAATCATTAAAAATATTTGACCACAGTCACAGCCGTTATCCTTCAGCATAGATGAAATGCTTGACATGTACAGAGACCTTTGCAAGGAATTCTTATTACTTATACAGTACATCTCATGTTATATAGTCTTGTAGACATAAGATGAACATAACATAAAATATTCCTCTACACAAAATGAAAAAGAATAAAAAAAAACAGACTCTCACTCTCTGTTCATAATAAATAATTCAATATTAATAAATACATAAAATCATGGTTAGTTGGCTACAATAGCCTTGTTCCAATTAATGCCTGTAGGAAATTGAGGGCAAATCCCAAAGATGTAAGGTCATTAAATAGTAGCATCTAGATGATCTTACTACTAGTACTACTACTATAGTAGCAGAAAACATGACAACATCACTTGATTCAAAACTTTTATCCACCTGGGTGCCTCTATCCTTATTAAACTTTCCATCTCCTAACAAGCCCAAGAGCAGAACAACCAACCAAAACCGGTCGTAAATGTTTGAAGCGTGCCACCATTTTGCCCTATCTCACAAATATTTAACAAAATGGCTAATTTAATGAATGTTGCCATGGCATTATCATCTGCCCTCTGTCAGACTCGTAAAATGAGTTGTCTTCAGGGCAGACGTCAGTGTGGGAAACATGCACAGGCAGGTTCACTACCGCACTCGCTTTGACCGGAAATGGTCCCAACTGACGTCAACTGCCCACTGGATAATCTGTAACTGGTTTTGGACTTCTGTGAACAGTTCTTAATTTGTCCTTGTACATCTGTACCTGTACTTGTAAGACTTGGCACTGTTCTCACAAAAGAGCTTTTGCCTGAAAAATTGTCTTATCTTTTAGAACAAAGATGCAGTTTACTTCAGTCTGAGAGTTGTCCACAGTAGACCACTTAATTAAAGGAAGTATTGGCTTGAATCAGTAGCCCTATCTTTCTTGTCGTAGAACTGGTTAATTTAATTGGACAGCTTTTGATATATCTCGAGTCGATTTAAAGTAAATTTGACTTAAAACTTCAGCTCAATTTTCAGAAAAGTTATTTTATAAAACAGGCATTTGGGTACTATGGATACAAGAAGGTGGGGGTATTGATTTTCTTAATGTTCTTTTTCTTAAATTAAATACCACAAGCTTTTGAGGTTGCAGAATATCTTTTTTATTCTCCTCCATAATTAATTGTACCCAGTCAACTTGCTTGACATTATCATATCTGCTCCTTGGATTGAAAACCTTAATCTCAGTCAAAATACTTTCAAATTACAGGTTTTATATAATAATATAGAATAATGTTTTTTTTTTTCTAAAAGTTATTTAATGAAAAGATGTCAAGCTCCAGCCTGAATATTTATAAAACAAATTGAAGTACATGTTACAGCTGAAAAAAAAAAAAAAAAAAAAATTCACTGACCCAGTAGGGCCAGTATCTCACTGGCCCAGACCAATTTTTACTGCCATTGGCAGTTGGTTCAGTGGTTAACGTTGCAGACTATAACTATTATACAGGTTAAATTAATATGCTGATACTCTCACCTTATAGGTGACAGGTGACAGCTGGGAGGTGGCACCTATATTATTATACTTTGACACATCATCAACAACAGGACAGTTCACACATGGACTTACTTGGACCGTAAACCGGATCAAACTGCATCATAGCACCTCACAAGGGACCACAATACAATTCTTTATGTGGGATTTGTCATCAGTGGTGTTAAATTATTTATTTTTTATCAATAAATTTTCGTTTTTCTTATGTTTTTCCTCTTACCTTGGTGCTTTTTTGATACATTTTGGATTGCCTTTGGAAGATCAAACATGAAACGGTAGTAACACAGCTGGTGATACAGAGCCGACTCAGTATACTGAAAAATAAAATTGACACAAATTTGGACTTTAATTATAACAAAACTGCCTCAGCAAACAGCAATGGGATGAGAGAATGCTGAAAAAGAAGAAATTCCTTCACCTCTCCTAAATTTCCCCCCATTTTTGATAATTATTTTTACAAGATCTGGCTTTCACCAATAAAAAGCAGGAAATCTGCCAAAATGGGACAAAATCCCTGTCTATGGGATACAACACATATATTTGAGTGGTGGGCACACACACTTACACACACACATGCACACAACTTAACTGAAAAGAATTTTATTTTTGAATAAATCACTTTAAATTTAGCGTGAACCTCCACGGAGTTAGGTCGATCTAAATCTAAATCTCTGGATCGATCTAAATCTCTGGGAATGCACCCTTAGTCACTAACAGCTGTTTAAACTATATTAAAAATTTCATTTGTGTTCCTATCTAGTTAATTGTATAGTTGCATTTGTTCATCAACACACGTGCTAATAAAATTTCCATTTTCCAAAATAATAATAATAATAATAACAATAACAATAATTATAATAATAATTATTATTATTATTATTATTATTATTATTATTATTATCTGCCAGTAAAAGGGGTACATTACAGTTTCTAGACAATAAAACTGCTTTAATTCCATAAAAAAATGATTCAATGGAAATGCATTAAAAAACATTTAGCTGTCATTTACGTACACTGAAGAAAACACAGAAACATAAAAAAAAAGATTCATCCTACTTCACAATATAAAGTCTCCCAGGTCTCCATGTAACAGATAAAAGGGAATTATCTAATTTAAAATTCCTGGTTCACTCCTGAGCAACATGCTGCGTTGTCTGAGTTTTGCATGCCTCTTTTCACATACAATTGCATAAACATGTGTTATGTTACAACACTTCCTTATGTAACAGCTATTTCAACCTTGTTTCTGAACTTTTTTTTACACAACATATTGAAGGGAATAGGTGTTAACAGTTATCAAACATGTTGTCAAGGGTTATTTTAGTGCACTGCAGTTGCGCAACAATTTACGTAAGTTTATTGCAAGAACAGTTTACCAAAAATAATACTAATAATAAAGGTATAAAATTGAAAAAAAATTATGACCGTAAAAATTGTGAGTCACATAATTCATGACTATCAGTACACATACCACATATCATGAAGTGTCTAATTATGAGTGAGAAATAAATCTGTGCTGAAAGTGATAATTGATTGTAATCTAACGAGTCATGCAAGTTCAGGGCTTACACATAACTCCGCAGCAACACGCTAATGCTTCTCAGACAACTCCTGCCAATTGCATGATATTACATGCAATGTCACATTTTGAATATGATAACAAGCATAAAAAACCTTGGCGACAGATTGAAACAAAATTTCACACCAACAGTTAGGAAAAAAAGGCTTCTGGGAGAGGAAATTAGTCATCTGATTTTGTTTCCTTGCCTTAAGTTTATTTAAGTTAAAAAAAAACATCTCACTGGCTTTTTATATTTGAAAAAAAAAAAAGGTTTTTGTTTTCTTTGAACAGTTTTTCTTTTTAATTTAAATTAAACTGCTAGTGGAACTAGAGCAGTCATTTTTTTTAAATGCTTTAAAGACATGCTACATCTTTCTTTTAAAACTACAGGGCAAAATGCTGTGAACCACTCTTTACCAAGCCATAAGTATGCAAATAGTGCATTATTTTAATATTAAAATATTCAAAAC